CCCCATACTGACTGCTAGAAAAGAGGCATAGACAAATCTCAATTCTCAAAGAGCTAGGATGTCATTGCTTTAGTGATGACTTCACTACCTTTCTAACTTTGGTGTGAATGCCATCTGCAAGTAATTCGGCTACCACTTATACAAGTCAGCGACCAACTTGAACAATCGCGCACTAGATGCCTCATTAAAGGCAAGGATCCGCTTTCAAATTTTGTTGGTCGCTTTGTCCTCCTGACCCTTGTTGACCCTACTGAAAGGGTTGTTCTCGGCTCTAGCTGCCCAAGCCTTGCTTACCATATCAGTCTTAATGGTCCTCGCTTCTTGTGGCGAGGCCAACCACGACAAGAGTGCCTAACCGCGCTCTGTTTCATCTAGTACCATGAACCGAGCTTCTTGTGGCGCAATTCTTCATGCACGAGTGACCTCTAGAATGACCACTAAGGGGTATGCTATGGCAGCTCCCCTTAATGCGAGGCGTCAAGAGTCTTAAGACCTCTCGTGAATAGGCGTATGTCCTTTCCATAGGAGGTGGTCTGGGACACCCCTCATCCTCGCCCGAGTGAATCTCGGGTCTCAGAAGTCGGGCTGGCTCCACCACAACAGCATGGTATCCCCCCGCACGAGCGGTCCACTCCGAGTCGTTAGCAGGGCCGGCCCCTAAGGCAACGAACCCCCGCCTCAGATGCCTCTTAGGAAAAGGAAAGACGTTTACCACGGCAGGCAAAATGATCCCTCACCGCCTAACATCAAGGGTAACTTAGATGAGAAAGGAGATCACAGAAGAGGAAGTCATTCAGATAGACGGACATAGACGGAGGGGGTCATTCGGAAAAGAATGGGTGACCAGATTCCTTTTCGTCGTCTACTGGTTACCTTTCCCTTCAACATGCATGCAGGTGAGCGACAGAAAACAAACATCACTCTCTCATTGCCATTGACATGGTGAAGTCCTTTTTTTTCCGGGCATCCTTCTACCTACCTGCACAACAGATCAAACAACAGTTTCAAAAGAAGACAATGCCATACCACTTATGTCAGACTTTCATTCACACGCGCAACCATACACTTCCCCTACCTTTTCAGTGAACATCCAAAGATCAGGTCTAACAAAGTGTGGGCTCACACGGGTGTGAAGGGGTCTGAGTCAAACTAACTGACCTTGAGTGAAGTTGAATAGACGGCCCACTCAAGAAGACCGTGTAAGATCACACTCCAGAGAAGACCATCGCCACAACAAGTCGCCCGCAAGCGATCCACACCACTCCCTAGAATGATCGTTTGTCGCGACACCCTCTGGTCACACAATCACCTCCCAGTAATCTGACGGCGTCTTAGCGTCACTGTCACCAACCGCATCACCACGCCATTGCCGTCAATACCAGAACATGCTGCCACAAAATGTTCCTCACAGTCTAAGCAAAACGGGCAGCGCTTCCGCGTCACCACCTAGAACGCACTGCCGCCGCCGCCAGAGTTCGGCAGCACTTTCGCGTTGCTGCCAGAAAAACACCGTCGACGCCGGAAGATTTCAGCATCACTTCCTCGTCACCACCAAAACCTTAGCGCTGCCGCCGCTAAAAAAAATCGGCAGTACTTCTGCGTTACCGCCCAAATCTCAATGTCGTTGCCGCAAAAAATTGGCAGCATTTCCGCACCACCGTCATCAAACTCGATACTGTCGCCGTAAAATTTTGGCAGCGCTTCCGCACCACCGTCGACAAACCCGGCGCTGTTGCTGCAAAATTTCGGCAGCGCTCCCGCATCACTACCTAGAGCGTACTGTCGCCGCCGCAAAAACAGGCAGCGCTCTCGCTTCACTATCGCAAAAAAAACGAATGTCGCCACCGTAAGGCCCGGGCAGCACCTCCTCAACGTCACCCCAATCTAAGTGCTGCCGCCATAAAAGTTCGGCAGCGCTTCCGCGTCACCGCAGAAGAACGTGCCGTCATCGCTGCAAAAATCTGGGCAGCACCTCCCCTGCGTTACAAAAACAGCCGCCGATGTCACGCCACGTGGGCAGCACTTTCCCACTGCTGCCCAAAGATGGCTGCTGACATCGAAAATCCGCGCAGCATCTTCTTCACACACCACTATCACCAAGGTGGTGGCTATGGCAGCCTCCACCCCACGCACCTTGCAGTCCTCCAGCGCTCCTTCCTCCCTCCTTGCTGAGATGGCGGCTATGGATGTACTCCATAGCTATGGCCACCTCCAGCAATCTCTTCCTTCCTCCTGCAAACCTCCCTCGCCGCCAGCAGCTCCGCTCCGCCTCACTTCTCTGCAGCCAGCCAGCAATCTCACAAGTCTCGCCGCTAGCAGCTCCGCTCCGCCTCACTTCTCTGCAGCCAGCCAGCAATCTCACAAGTGACAGCCCAGCATTGCTGCCAAGAATGCTTGGCTGCCGGGGCTAGAGGCTGCTTTTATATCCAGAGAAGTGGCTGAGGCAGCCACTCTGCCTCAGCCAAAACTCGGATCTGAGGCCAGCCCTTGATCTGGCTCATGATCAAGGGCCGGATTTCGATCTCAGACTTGAAAAACTCAGGTCCCAGGCTCAGGTATTGAACCTGGCCTGTCATTCTGGCCAGATTCAGCCTTAAATTGGCTGATTCCAGCCAGATGCAGGAGCCTGTTCATCTCGAACAGGCATCTGCCTGTCCATTCCCACAGGGTGCGCACCTGTGCTGCACCCACAGCCAGGTGCGCAGCTTTTCCCCCTTTTTTTTTTTCTTGTTTGTACTTACCTCACGGCCGCGGCCACATACACGGCCATTTCCCTTCCTCTTCCCCTCAATCCTTTCTTTTCTTCTTTCTCTTTTTTTTTTTTACTTTGTCCCCCCCCTCTCGTTTTTCTGTGCAGGGGGCAGCTCGTTTTCAAAACGAGCAGCCACCCCTTAGTCATTTCACAGACTAAACTAGGGTCAAGCTCAGCTGGGGTTTTCATCCCCCTGCCCAGCTCGCGGCTGAACCTGGACGCCATCGGTGCCAGGCTCAAGGCTCGACATTCATGCTGCCTGTTTTTTCTCAGCGAACGGGCGCAGGCAAGTGTTCGTTGGAGGCTTACCTGTCCCCTCGCTCTCACTGTGTCCCGTAGCAGTAGTATTAGTAGGAGGCGTGGTAGGGGCGGAGTACATTTCCGCGTTCTAGAGATAGATTCATTTGGTTTCGCTCACCCTGGTGACTGTTGAGGTTCAGCCTCTGATGAGTCCGTGGAAGTCCGACGAAACAGTCTGGTACAGTCAAGCTTTTCTTTCTTTTTTTCTCTCTTTTTCTTTTTTTTTTTTTTTTTTTTTTTTTTTTGAGCCCTTTTGAACGGGTGCAGACAGACTGGATAGTCTGTTTGGCAGAAGGGGGGGGTGGAAAACAATGTGGCAATGTATATTTCCATGTTTCAACGCTAGATTCATTCGATTTTGCTCATCCTATAGATGGAAGTGGCGTGGGGCAGTGCCAGGTAGGTTGGCCTCTCTCTCTCTCTCTCTCTCTCTCTCTCTCTCTCTCGCTCTCTCTCTCTCTTTCTTTCTAGAGTAGTAGTAGTGCAGTAATGTATAGTTACTGCTTTAGGGGTAGATACATTCGCTTGCTCCTCCTCTCCCCTCCCTGCTGCAGCCCGTTCAACGAACGGGCACAGACTCCAAAAGATCGTATAGGGAGAATCAAAAGAGAAAGAAAAGAAAAAAATTCAAACAAAATCTTAGGAAAAGATAATCTAAGAAAATCTAAAAAATGTAGGAGAAAAAAAGAAAAAAACAAACCCACCTGTCAGCTGGCCGTTAAAACAGGCGCCAGCTACTCGTTTTGGGGACTTGAGGTCCCTTCCACTTCTGTATGCGCCAACTGGCGCTCCGTTTATTTTTTTATTTATTATTATTTTATTTATTTATTTATTTATTTTTCCTTTCTCTTCTGTTGGCCACTGCCAACAGTCACCTCACATGCTCGTGGCAACTCCACGAGCTACCAAAAGGAGGATTTGGGTTCGATTCTCGATAAAAATAAAAACAAAAAGTAAAAAAAAGAAAATTGAATCATTTTTCAATTTGTGCGTGTCAACCTTGCGCAGACCAATGTTAATCTGCGCGGCCGATCTCGGCCACGCGATCCTCGTGATCGACGGTCGGAATCGACCGCGCCGACAGCATCCAAGGTGGCCAGCTCCAAAAGAAGCTTGCCCAACGACGCAGTATTTCAGATTCGATCCTGGTATTTGCCGGGTAAGAGTCCTGGACTGTAACCTACTGGGCTAGCTCCCACCACGGGAGTTAGACCTGTGCCTCCTCTGTACATAGAGGTGCAGTCCCCAGTAGGCCCAGCCCACACTCAACAGGCCCAGCCTGCCTTGCCTTGCAGGCCCTGCCTGTCCGTGGCTTTGCAGGCCTCGCCTGCCTGTGGCTTTGTAGGCCTCGTCTGCCTGCGGCCCTGCAGGCCTCACCTGCTTGTGGCCCTGCATGCTTAGTTGGCCGTGTGAGCTCGACATCAGCCTTTCAACCCCCTGGCTCAGTGTCAACCCCGCGCGGCCCGAGAAATAAGACCCTTCTTCTTATTCCCCCCTGCGCCGCGGCTCTATACCCAGCGACCCCTGTTTTTAGCCTACTAAGGCCCTGAATTGCGCGGCTTAGCAGTCCGCGCGTCATTATTTTAGGTAGACTAGGTCTAGCTTTGGTTTTTCCATGACCGCACGCTACTGTGACCTTGTCGGGAAGCGCGGGCGACAGGTCGTACCGCCAACTCCTACTGTTTCGAGCGGACGTCGACGACGTCACTCGTCACCGACGTCATACGTCATCGACGTCAGGCTTTAGGTCTCTCAGTTATAAGGTTGGTCTGAAAAACTTTGGCAACGTCAATCTGATCATGTTCCTCAAATCCAACGAAAAAAAGTCGGACAGCGTCTGACCTTGAAAAACTCGGGCAGAAACCCTCTCAGGGGTTTCTGTCCTGACATCGATTGTGCCCAAACCGCACACCCAAGTGTCGACTTGCTTGTTGATCTCCTTCAGCAACTCCGGTGGCGCCCAAGAGTAGAGCTAGATCTTGAAACCCTCGCGGATCTCCGTGTCCCGCAACGTCTGCGACTTGTACTCGGGATTGAGGAAGGCTGCAGCGCAATGCAACTCTGATGTCATGAACCCCCACCGGTTCATGAGAATGACTACGGGCTCTATCACAGCAATTGCTCTGTCCACCTCGTCCCAAAAGCCTCGACTGTCGGTAATGATGCGCGTCACAGCGTTGAATGCAGGCACCTGCTCAGGCCTTACCAACTTGTCAACCCATGCCACGTTCCCGACGCACAACTCAAGTGAAGTCCTCCCGCTCCTCAAGGACTCCAACATCTCGAAGTTCGTTGCGAACCTCGTGACGGCTGGGCGTTTGAGTTGGGCTTTTGCAATTCTGTTGTACATGGCCCGGACCTTATCGACGTTGGTCACGAATTTGCCCACTCGGTTCCCCTTGTCGACCACTTCCTTCATCCAGTCCATCCTCTTATACATGTCTTCCAGTGCCAAGTCCAACGCGTGGGCCGTGCAACCCACACTGAAAATCCCAGGGTACTGTGCCTCCACCATCTTCCCGGCCTTCGAACAGACCCTGGCGTTATCCATCACGACAGCGACGACGGACCGCGAACCAACCTCCTCGATGACGCCTTCCAGCACCTTGAAGTATGCCGCCGAATCCTTGTCCTTCCCTTCCATGCAGACTGAATTCCAAAAAACGGTGCCAATCGGGGAGGAAACCATTACGTTCAGATGTGGTTTGTTCCTCCTGTCAGACCACCCGTCCATTTGCAGCATGCAGCCAGTCCTCTCCCACTTCCTTGCAAGTAGTAGTTCTCCAGCAGGTTGAACGGCTGATTTGTACAAATCAGAAAACGGTCCAGGTATCTGCTGGTCTGCTCATTGTGCGTGACGATGCTGTCCGCCTCCTCGATAAGAGTTTGCCTTGTCGACCGTCCGGCCAACGGCGCAACGTTCCCGGATGTCGCCGGTGTGGTCGACTCCCCAACAGCCGGGACAAGGGGCCCCGACACCATCGTGGGTGGGACAACCAAGCTGCTACGAGAGGGAGCACTGCTCGGACCCGCACCCGCGCTTCCCTTCCCTCCGACAAGGGATTCCGCCTGCATCGTCCCCGTTCGTATCCCCTCCAACCTCCTCACCCTCTCCTCCGCGCCCAACACGCGGGTCACGCACTCGATCTTACACTTGCCCTTCAGGAAGTGATCCCTGAGGTTGGTGGCCGACCYAACGAACCGGAGCTCGCAGTAATTGCAGACATAGTGCTTATGCCCCTTGCTCTTGTGTTTCCCGGCCGGGCCATTGCCGGTGAAGTGCCTCTTCAGCTGCTCGATCAACCCCTTGTTGACAGACATTGTCCCTGCGCACATGCATGCACTCCAACAGCCGCCCTGACGTCAGCCCCTTGTGTCACTTTTCGAACACCCCCCCAATTCAACC